AATACAGACCTGGGCGCAATAACGATGATGCGGATGTTCTTTCCAGACTGACGATGTCACCTAGTGAATTTGATCAATGTACCGAAGAAATTTCCCCATTAGTGATGGACGCTGTGGTTCAAGGTGTTTCAGTACAACAATCCTCAAACTTTGCATACATAAATCAAATATCTGCGGACGATGAGATTATACAAGATCAACTTCCCGGTGTCATATCAAACTTACCAGCCCTATCGACTGCAGAAATACGAACTGCTCAACAAGAAGACCCTACCATTGCAAGATTTCTGCAATATAAAAAGAAGGGGAGATGGCCAACTAGGGCTGAGCGTACCAATGAGCTTTCTGAAACTAGAACGCTGATGCGCGAGTGGAGTAAAATTGAGATAGACAAAGATGGTATTCTGCATCGAAAAACAAAAACCAGAACGCAACTGTTAATTCCAAAGAGTCTTCGACCAATGATACTCAAATCACTGCTTAATGATATGGGACATCTTGGTACTGAGAGAGTGCTTACATTAACTCGAGACAGATTCTACTGGCCTCACATGGAAACTAACATCAACCATTACATAACACAAGAATGCAGTTGCGTGAAAGACAAGAAGCCATCGAAAATCACTCGTGCTCCTCTGGTAAACATCAAGACGTCAGAGCCATTTGAACTTGTATCCATCGACTTCCTTCACCTTGACAAGTGTAAAGGAGGGTACGAGTACATCTTGGTAGTGATGGATCATTTTACGAGGTTTGCCCAAGCGTACCCAACCACCAACAAATCGGGCAAGACAGTTGCTGACAAGATTTTCAATGATTTTGTTCTGAAGTTTGGTTATCCACGTAGACTACATCACGAGTAGACTTCATCACGATCAAGGTCGCGAGTTTGAAAACTCTCTTTTTCGACGGCTGGAGCAACTGAGTGGAGTCGATGGATCTCGAACAACGCCTTACCATCCACAAGGTAACGGACAAGTTGAGAGATTTAACCGAACCTGGTTGTCGATGCTCCGTACCTTAACCACTGAACAGAAACATGATTGGAAACAACATTTGAACAAAGTTGTTCATGCCTACAATGTTACACAACATGAAACTACAGGTTATTCACCTCATTTCTTACTATATGGACGTTCACCTAGACTACCAATTGATCTAGCATTCAGATTATCCCCAGATGGAGATGCTGATAGGACTGAACACCATGAGTATGTCAAGAAATGGAAATTGAGGATGGAAGAAGCATATATCCTTGCAAGATCAAAGGCACATAAGTTGGCTGAAAGAAGTAAAAACCGACATGACCAACAACGACCAATCAGGACATCATTGTTGCCAGGTGATAGAGTTTTGATTAAGAATTGTGTTCCGCCTGGTGGGCCCGGAAAACTCCAGAGTTTCTACGAAGACAATTTACACATAGTGGTAGCACAGAAGCGTGAGTTACCTGTGTACGAGGTTCGCCCAGAACACGGAAATGGTAGAACACGGGTTCTACATAGAAACTTACTCTGTCCATGTGATGCCTTGATAACAGATACACCAAAGTTTGGAACTACCTGTACCAAGAAAGTAAAGAAGGTTCCAGAACAAAGAGTACGAAACACATCAGAAGGACATACAACACAATCCGGTGACGTTGCAGATTCTGACGATGAGGATGAGGTGTACTTACCATACACCCTAATAACTGAACCAAACTCACAACCACCACATGCACCTACCGGTGATGGTTCACACGTACAG